CTCTGAGCAGAAGTTTGGTAAATGGTGTTTCATTTTGACAAAAAATAATGGATGATTTAAATTCTCCAAAGGAATCCGACTTTTAACTAACGTAAACACGAAGAGGCTGAAATTGTAACATAAACATGAAGAGGCTGAAATTTTAGTTTTCTCGAAATTTCATCAAATTAATTATGTGGGGTAACAGATGTAAAAAAATATTTGTACTAAGATTATCTAAGAAAAAATTTCAAAAATAATTTCATTAATTTGTGTATAATTCCTGTAAATTTTATTAACATACAACAATTATTTCATCTGTGCAAGAATTTCTAAAACAATTTGTTTTTAACGCCCAAAAAGACGCCAAAAATCCCTGTACTAATCTTTGGCCCATCCGCTGACTCAAGAAAAACAAAATTTTTAACCAAAATTTCGGACGTGATAGAAAGGATTAAAAAAATCAATAAAATAATAAAAAAATACTGTGATTTTTTCCTCTTAATAATAATAACATCATTTTCATCATGGTATGCTCTTTTTTTAAGAACATATTTGGAGGTACCTACTTAAAAAGATTGCAAAATCAAGATATTCAATTACGCAATATTGACTTTATTTGTCTCAAAATTGTTGTCAGTTATAACCGCGAAATAGTTCCTAAATGCGTATGTATGTTTCCTAAGGGTGATGCATCACCAGACAAGAGGGCCTGTTAATCATGAGCGAAAGCGCTGAAAGGTATAGTCGGATGGAATTTGAAACTCTGGCCAAATATGGTGCAACAAATCGTAAACCAAGCCACCCTGGCTGACGTACCAATCAACACCTGACGCCATACTGTCGCATATTTATTGCACGAATTGCATGATTTTTTTTTACGTCAATTCGGTTTCGCTGTCTGTGCAAGAAATAAAAAATATAAAAATGAAGAGAACAAATTATTTAAAGTTAAAAAAAATAAAATAAACGAAACCATTTTGTTTTAAATAAGCAAAACAAATTTGTGGTGTCAAAGGTTAAATATAGAATTAAATCTCGGATGAGAAAAATCGGATTGTGTTAGCATTTTAGAAGTACAATAGCAAGTTCTGATTTCTCATTGTTTACTTGGTTGTCCGATAGTGTAGCTCCAAATTTAGTTAACTCATCTCCAGCCCAGTTATTGCCCGGTTGATGATTCATAATATTTACCTACTAACAGACGAATGATGCAATATGACACGATTAAAGTATTTGTTAACAGTGCAAAACTCGGTCTACAGACGAAAGCCATGTTTTAATGCCAATTCGAAAGTAAGCTTTATAAATATGGAAACCCTTCCTCCTTGTTATTATTGCCTAATCTATCCAGATATATATCCTTATTATGATTGTTATAATGCAAATATTGTGTCTGTTCCACTCTTCGGCCTTCTTTAGGTTCCTTGTGGCATTTAGTATTTTTCTTAGAACCTCGAACCGAACACTTTATTCAATCAATAGGGTAGAGTTATTGTTTTTATTCTGTCGAGCTAGCTCGTACATTCACGAATCTATCATGGCAAAATGTCAGATATCTAGGCTGGAAGGTCATTAGAGTGGGATTATGTGCCATTACATAGCTGCTCAATGTAGGTGGTTGCTGGACGATCAGCCCGTCTTGCACCATGGCTAGGTGTCCAGAGCAGTAGATCCCTCGCGAGTTTTTGCCAGCGGTGTCCTACAAAGTGTGTTCTGCGTTCGCATAAGATTGTAGAAGTATCAGGGATGGGTTCATAAAGCTAAGATTTAGTTGAATAGTGTCTCCAAAATATGTTAAGTATAGCTGTAAAGCATCCATGTGTAGGTTCCATCAAGCTTAGACTCTAGGTTTTGTTGCAGTTTTTTGTGTATTGTTTACTAGTGAGCCAGTCAAAATGAGCTGACTCATTTTATAGTTCACTAATAGAAGGGTTAACCAATCAGAAAGCTCAAAATATTCAATGCGACGTGTATAAAGGCAGCCATTTTTTCTCCCAAACTATCCTCACTGCTAACCTGATATCGAAGACTTAAAGAATTACTTAACAACCGATACTTTCTCAGAATCTTCACTGCCGACCACTGATATTGAACAGATTACGAACTTCACTGAATTCCATATTCAGAGACTGCGGTAAACATGGTCAACAGGGTTTTAGTTAATGGCCAAGCAATGGCGTGAAAGTATCTCTGCTTGAGATTGTCTGGTAGCTCAGATTTCCAGTTTACATTCATTTTATTCAAGGTGGAGCAGGCTTTAGCTACGCGTTTTATTCAAGGCATCCCAGACTTTATTGCGATAACAATCTTTGTGATACACTATTATTCAGCTATTAAACCGGTTCCGTAATCAGGCGATTTCTGGAGATGAACGTAGCTAGACTCATGGCAGAATTAAAAATAAATATTTTAGAAGTTGAACAAATTTTTCTGATATTTTAAGTGAAAACACTTCAAGTTAAAATTCTTTTCATCTTTTTTTTTTATTAGTATCGTTTGTTTTGTTTTACGGCATATCAACCTTAATGGGTTATTTAATGCCGACAAGATTTTTATTGCTGGTAATATTTTTTTTTCAAAAATGTATTGCTGGTAATAATTTTTTTTTCTTCAAAAATTCATTGCTGGTAATAAGCTTTTACAAAAATGTATTGCTGGTATTAAAACCTATTTTTACACATTATAGAGTTTTGACCCCAGTTTGGGGGTCAACTATTCGTCCATAGCTGGGACCCCACCTAACAGGTGTTTCCACCCCGAGTCAAGGTGGACCTGGGAACACCAGCAATTAAGAGGTGGTCCCACGCTCCTCAAAACCTCCTGATCAGAGGCTTGCTGTTGGAGGTAGTTTATTGTCTTACATAGGGCGCGGATGTAGTTCATCGTCTTACACAGGAGGCGGACGTAGTTTATTGTCCTATTCAGGACGCAGATGTAGTTTATCGTCTTACCCAGGATGCAGATATAGTTTATTGACTTATCCAGGACGCGGATGTAGTTTATTGTCATGCACAGAATTGCGGGCGTAGTTTGTTGTCTTACCTAGGACGCGGATGGAGTTTATCGTCTAACCCAGGATGCAGATATAGTTTATTGTCTTACCCAGGACGCGAATGTAGTTTATCGTCTTACCCAGGACGCGGATGTAGTTTATCGTCTTACTCAGGACGCGGATGTAGTTTATTGTCTTACTTAGGAGGCAGGCGTAGTTTATTGTCTTACCTAGGACGCGGATGTAGTTTATTGTCTTACCTCGGACGCGGACGTAGTTTATTGTTTTACCTAGGACGCGGATGTAGTTTATTGTCTTACCTAGGACGCGGATGTAGTTTATCGTCTTACCTCGGAAGCGGACGTAGTTTATTGTCTTACCTTGGACGCGGACGTAGTTTATTGTCTTACCTAGGAGGCGGATGTAGTTTATCGTCTTACCTAGGACGCGGACGTAGTTTATTGTCTTACCGAGGACGCGAATGTATTTTATCGTCTTACCCAGGAAGCGAATGTAGTTTATCGTCTTACCCAGGACGCGGATGTACTTTATCTTCGTACTCAGGACGCGGATGTAGTTTATCGTCTTACCTAGGACGCAGGCGTAGTTTATTGTCTTACCTAGGACGCGGATATAGTTTATTGTCTTACCTCGGACGCGGACGTAGTTTATTGTTTTACCTAGGACGCGGATGTAATTTATTGTCTTACCTAGGACGCGGATGTAGTTTATCGTCTTACCTCGGAAGCGGACGTAGTTTATTGTCTTACCTAGGATGAGGACGTAGTTTATTGTCTTACCGAGGACGCGAATGTAGTTTATCGTCTTACCAAGGACGCGAATGTAGTTTATCGTCTTACCCAGGACGCGGATGTAGTTTATCGTCTTACCTAGGACGCGAATGTAGTTTATCGTCTTACCTAGGACGCAGACGTAGTTTATTGTCTTACCTAGGACGCGGATGTTGTTTATTGTCTTATCGAGGACGCGGATATAGTTTATTGTCTTACCAAGGTTTTATTTTTATAGGCCAACTTTCATCATCGTAAACGATGTCGTTGGTTTAAAATTACGATTAAACTGATGTTAATCGTAGTTATTTATTCAGTATTCATGAAATAAAGTTAGAATTTTCACCATTTCATCACAATTTTATGGTAAATAGTTAAATTTTAAACCAATGTTGATATTTTAAGCTTAATGATTCATTTCTTACAGAAGCTGAAAAATATTAGAAAATAAAAAACAAAATGTGGCTCCGCACATGCGCATTGTATTGTCGATTATCCGGTAATTGATGGTGAAAACCTCTTTTAATCCTGACAGAATTATAAAAGCGCATTTGAATTTCACACAAACGATAGATTTATTCAATCTAATAAACTACTTCAACATTATAAATCTAACGTCTTTTCCTAAACTCTGTAATTCTCTTTGACATTGATTTATCTTATTTTATTTACTTTTTTCCTCAATAGGAGCAGATAGGTCCGCCTATCGTCCGGTTTATGCTCCTCCCCGCTCTTTTGAACAGGAGCAAACGTTTATCTCTCGTTCCCTGTTTAGGATTGGGTTTCCGGTTCCTTCTAAAAGTCTACTTCAATTCTATACTTCTAATGTCTCCGCCTAAAGCTTCGTACTTTTATTTGGTATTTATTTACTTTTTTCCTCAATAAAAGAAGATAGGTTCACCTATCAACCAGTCCATGCTCTTGCTCTGTCTTTGGAACAGAAGTAGAGATTTATCCTTTGTCGCCTGTTTGGATTGTGTTTCCGGCTCTTTCTAAAGTCTTTTTCTTCTTTTTCCCTTCCGGTGGCCCGTTGCGTCTTGGTGGCTTTATTACCTTCCATGGGGTGACACTCTGTAATCCTCTAACTCGAGTCACCCATTGCTCGGGTGAGAATATCTTGACTCATTATCGCATTTCACGCGTAAGTGAATATAACGAACCCAACTGGAATTGGAACTTGGTACTCCGACTAACAATTCCGAGCCGTTATCCAGTACACCACCCGCACATCCAAGCTTACAGCCCCTGGCATTGCCAAGCAGTCACCCATCTAGTTATTGACCAGGCTCAACATTGCTTAACTTCGGTGATCGTACTAGAACCGGTGCTTAAACGTGATTCAACGTAAGCCTGGGAGAGAAAGACAGCAAGAAAGAGGGAGATAGACAGACTAAGATTAAGACGGAGGAAGAAAAAGAAAGAGGGAGAGGGAGAAATAGACAGGGAGAACTGGAGTTTCCCCACTCACTGTCGTAGGTTAACAGGTGGAAATTCAATGCGTGGTTGTCAGTAAAAGAAAAAAAAAGAGACCCCGCTGGGTGTGATCTGTGAATTGGGCACATGAAAAATCAAGTCGGTACAGAAGTTTAACTAAACATAGCCATATACATAATATTAGACAGATATTAATTGAGAGCACATATAATACTCACACATACACAGAATAAAAAGAACCTTCAGATATTAGATGCGATCTACATTAAAACAAAGCAATCCACACTCAACAAAATTATATTTCAAAATAGTCACAACACATTACATTACATCTAGACATATGCTTCTGTTGTTAATATTTCGGTCTCTCACGTGATACGACGTCATAGAACCGCATCATAAATTTACGACCTAGATCTGCTATTCCGCGACCTTTATCGTTGCATAGAAATCTTCTATGTCAGCATAACAAAATATTATCTTTGATGGCGTATATCTTTGTTAAGATGTCCGTATAACCACTCTGAAGATGGAACATGTGAGCCGAAAGCTTAGATCAAGGACCAGCTTGATAAAAAAATATCCAAATATTGGACAATTTTTGTCTTTATTTTCACTCGAAATTAAAACAAACCTATGAAATTTAGACCGGCTCATGATCAGGCATAATAGACATTCATTGTCTGTTATATTTAATAATATGATTAAATGATGATCTGCTGCCCCAGTACACTAAATTCGAGTTTAACTATCTGAATAGTGGAGTGACCGACAACAAAAGTGCGGCACAGATGTCCGAAGACGCATAAGGACAGGAAATGAGGGTCTGCCAGAAATTAAGCAAAATGTTAAGGGCTATCTTTTAATGTCTTTTATTTGTTCGGTTTTGTTTTTGAATCGGTATCGCCCAAAGCAAAGCAGTACAGCCACTATCACGCAAGGGGTTACAGGGCGTGGGGGAATTAGGAACAGACATATTAATGATGAGCAGAAAGAGAACGTTAGATAACAACTGACATTGCATTTAAACTTTTGCAGATTAAATTTGGCAGGAAAACCTTGAGCCGGAAGGGAGTTTCGCAAACGAGAAGTGAGATAAAGAAAACTGTCATCATAAAACTTCCGGTTACATCGACTCAGCTCAGCCGTAAATTGATGAGATCTCGCCGCAAGTATTGCGCTTAAATTCATAAACTACAGGTACCATAACGAAGCGCAATATTTAATTTCATAAAAATACAAAATGAAGAACAAGGCCAAAATAGGGGAAAAAGTTGGTATTTTTCTATATTATAATTAAACTTAGCTAGTCACAATCACTGACCCAAACAGAATACAATATTCCTAACAGCAAAACAACCATTCGTACTACATCCACCATAATACCTCCGTCTCTATGTAATCCTAATTCCCATATGTAAAATTTGTCCGTTAGAGTGGTGAATATAAAAGTCTAGGTACCATAGAGGAGAGTAATTTTTAATTTGTAAATATACAAAAATTTAGCACAAGGCCGAAATGGGAGCTGGGAAAAGCTGGGCTTCTGTCTTAACATTAAACTTAGCTAGCCACAATCACTGACCCAAGCATAGCACAATATTTCTTACAACAAAACATCGCATTCTTACTTACCATTCATACTACATCCACCATAATACCTCAATGTCTCTATGAAGTCGAACCTAATCCCCATATGTACAATTCTTGTCTGTAGAGGTGGGGGCTATATAACAACAATTTCAAAATCTAAACCCCAATGAACTATTTACAAGAAACTAAATAAAATACCATAGCGGAGAGTGATATTTATTTGCGCTTTAAATACAGAAAATGTGGCACAAAGCCAAAAATAGGGAATGGGGAAAAGAGTGGTCTTCTTCTGTCTTAAATTTAAACAAACACTGACCCAAGCATACAACAATATTCCTAACACCAAAACAATACATTCTTACTTACCTTTCTTACTACATTCACCATAATACCTCATTGTCTCTATGAAAATCCCAACTAGTCCTCATACGTACAATTCATTGTCTGTCTGTGGGAGGGGAATAAAAGCGAAGAGTTCATCCGAACAATTAGTATGAAAGTATTTATAGAAAAGACACAGGGAGGCAACCTCACGGCGGTGGGCAAATGACTGAAGCCAAGCCGCCAGATCAACACCAATAATATAGCTGATTCTTTTTTGGATCTTATCAAGGAGTTCTAGGTAAATAGCAGTGGCAGCGGTCCATATATGACAGCAATATTCTAAGCATGGACGAATGGTAGACTTATAGATATGCAAGATAGATTCCCGGGAGAAAAGTTGTCTCGGCCGACATAGTTTCCGACTTACTTAGCAGCAATGGATTCAATATAGTCTTTTCGCCTCATTTCAGCTGAGAACGTTAGCCAGAGAAGGTACAAAGGAGGATAGCATTATCCATCTCTTGGCATGGGTAATGTTGTACTTTAACAGAGTTCTGCAGTAATATCATTTGAAAGGTGTGCTCATGCGACCCGACCTTGATATAGGATTAAATGTATTTCGCTTTAAAACAGTTAATATCAAACTCCACCACCAGATCGTTATTACAGCAATGGTATCTTTACTGAGTACTCCGTGCTTTCGACCTTGTACCAGGCTTAGCTAAAATTAGTAAATATCTGCCCATATGAAAGAAAAACACCATTGCGTTTATTATGACGTAAATGTCTTCTGACAATCGTTGCAGGAGGCTTTCTGCGCATGTCTTTCTTCTATACTTTCCGTTCTCGCTACACTTCTGCATTAGCATTTGCATATCTGACATGCAATTATTGTGCAGTTGCAGTTTAAGTGTGAAGTCACTATTTTTTTTTCTTTTGTTTTTCTTTTGTCTTCTTGCCGTAAGCTGCGCCCGGTCCCAACGCAGCGATGACCCCGCGACATGACAAGCTTGCAAACCTTGCATCGTATAAATAATGCTTCAGGCAAGCTCTCATTGACCTTCCCACTGTTCTTTCTCGTTGCAAAACTCTTCTTTCTTGAGATTTCACTTGCCTCGCCATTTGCAATTCGTTTCGTTTGCGCCTTCTTTTGTGTCGGCAGTTTTTGTCATTTTTGTTCCCACGCATCTTTCTTTCTTTCTTCTTTTCAAATTTATATTCTTTCTTTACACTTTTTTTTTTATTTAGTTCTTCTTTCGTTCTGAGTTTGTGTCTTTCTTTCTTTCTTTTTTCTTTCTTTATCTATTTAGTCTTTCAAATTTTATTTTCCTTCTTTTGTAATGGTACATTAGTTGGTCTTTCTTTTTTAAATTCCCTTATTCCTTCTTTCTTTCTTTATTTCGTCTTTTAAATTTTATTTTCCTTCTTTCGTAATGGTATTTTAGATTTTTTTCTCTTTAAATTTCCTTCTTTCTTTCTTTATTTCGTCTTTTCAATTATATTTTCGTTCTTTCGCAATGGTAATTTGTTTTCTTTTCTCTTTAAATTTCCTTCTTTCTTTCTTTCTTTCTTTTTTAAATTTTATTTTCCTTCTTTTGAAATGTTACTTTAGTTTTTTCTCTTTAAATTCCCTTCTTTCTTTCTTTATTTCTTTCTTTTTTCTTTAGTCTTTTTATATTGCTTTATTTTCTTTTTATGTTCTCTCTTTTCGCCTTTCTTTCTTTAGTGTTTTTTGCTTTACTTTATATTTTTCTTCCCTTTTTATGCCTTACTTTCTTTCATCTTTTTTAAATTACATTATGTTCTTTTTTAATGTCTGTATTTCTTTTAGCCTTTCTTTCTTTCTTTCTTTATTTTCCTTCTGTCTTTTGTGTTTTTGTGTTTTATTTTATTTTCTATTTATATTTTTATGTCAGCCATTCTTTCTTTCTTTCTTTCTTTCTTTCTTTCTTTCACTCTCTCGTCCTTTCTGTCCTCCTCTCATTCTTTCTTTTTCCATTCTTTCTTTATTCTTCTTTTCTTTCATCCTTTTTCTTTTCTGCTTTTTAGGTTCTTTTCTTTGTTTATTCCGTTTCTTCTTTATCCATTCTCTATTTTTTTTTCTTTCCTGTTATTTTTTTGCTTTTTCATGACCTCTATTTTTTCTTTCTTTCTTTCTTTCTTTCTTTCTTTCTTTCTTTCTTTTATTCCTTTTCTTTCAATTTTTTTGTTTCTTCCATTCTCTATTTCTTTTTGTTTCTTTTTCATTTAATTCCTCATATCTTTTTTTTTTCTTTTTTCCGCTCTGATATTTTCTATTTCATTTTCTTTCATTCATCCGTTCTGTTTTTGTTTATTTTGGCGGGGGAGGGTGTATCTTTTATAATTCTTGGTTGTTCTATCATGTTTCTTTCCCTTTTTCCTTTTTCGATTATTTCTGTATTTTCTTTCGTTTACTTTCGTCCTTCCTTCAGCCATTCTTTCTTAATTTTTCTGTTCCATTTTCTTTCTGTCTTTCTGCTGAATCATTTCTTTTCTTTTCTTTGTTTCTTTTTTCATATTCTATTTTTTTTGTCATTTTTCTTTCTTCTTTCTTTCATCCCTTGCACATTGTGTGTTTTTTTTTTCTTTCTTTTCCATTTCGTACTTTATGGCTTTATTTGTTTCTTCGTTTCTTTCTTTCTTTCTTTCGTATTTTTCATTTTCTTTCTTTTCTCCATTCTTTATTGTTTTTTCTTTCTTTCTTTCGTCATTCTCCTTTTCTGTCTTTCATTCTTCCTTTCTTTCGTTCTTTTTTTCGCATTCTCAAGAGATTTTTTTCTTTCATCCTTCTCCTTTCTGTCTTTCATTCTTTCTTTCTTTTTTCCATCCTCCAGTGATTCTTCTTACTTTTCCATTTATGACTTTT